GTGGACTAGGTAGCACAGACCACCGACGATGCTCTGGTAGAGTGTTGCATCCACCTTCGCCGCGGTGATGGCCTCGTCAGCTTCAGCCGCTCCTCCATCGGAGTCACGCATGGCTTGCACTCAGCCATGCCACTCTGCTCCAATAGCTTCGAGGCATACGCGCTCTGACCGAGTGTGAGTTCCTCCTTCCCCTATGTCACCTCAATGCCAAGGTAGTAGGAGAGTGCACCGAGATCGCTCATTCGAAAATGAGCCATCATCTCGCACTTGAAGCTGTTGATGTCCTCCGTGCGCGCGTCGGTGACGATCAAGTCATCCACATACACGCCGACGACGAGCTCCTCCTTCCCCCATCGCCGCGTGTACAGCACGTGCTCGGTTGCGCACCGCTGGAACCCAAGCTCGCCCAGCATGGCGTCAAGCTTGGTGTTCCATGCTCGTGGGGCCTGCCGTAGCCTGTAGAGCGCCTTGTGCAGTCGGAGCACCCTGTGCTCCTCTCCCTTGACGGCGAAACCTGGAGGTTACCCGACGAAGACCGTCTCCGCCAGCTCACCATTGAGGAAGGCCGATTTAACGTCCAAGTGATGGACGCGCCAATCCTTTGCTGCTGCCAAGTCTAGTAGCAAACGGACATACTCCATACGCACTACGGGCGCAAAGACTTCCTCGAAGTCTATGCCCTCGCGCTAAACAAAGCCTCAGGCGATGAGGCGCGCCTTATGCTTGATAATGGCGCTGAGCTCGTCCCTTTTGACCTTGTACACCCACTTTAGGTTGACCGGACGACATCCTAGAGGTGGATCGACGAGCTGCCATGTCTCATTTTGCTCGATCACCTTCATCTCCTCCAGCATTGCCCGTCGCCAGTTTTTGTCGTGCTCGGCCAGCGCGAACATGGGTGGTTCCTCTGAGCTGACGTGCAGCAGCTCTTGATCATTAAGCAGCCGACCAATTAGGCCTGAGGGCCCTGCGTCGTCGATGATGTTGTCCAGCCTACAGAACCGCACCTTCTCACCTTCGTGGAAGGCATCCATGAACTTAGTGATGTCACTTGAAGGTGAGGCGAACTCGATCAGTGTTGATGGAGTTCCCTGTTCTGCCTGAGTGCTCGGCACCCTGGTTGCAGTGCTTGGCACTACTTCTGGACAGCTCGTCACTACTCCTACAGTGCTCGGCACCACTGTAGGAGTGCTCAGCCTTAGTCTTGGAGTGGTCGGCACCACTACAAGACCTCTTGGCTCCGCTATGAGAGTGCTCGGCACCCATCCTGGAGTGGTCGCCACCACTGCAGAACCTCCCGGCACCACTCATGGCATGCTCGGCATCCCTCTAGGAGTGCTCGTCACTCCTCCCTGAGTGCTCGGCATCCCTCCCAAAGTGCTCGGCACTGTCCTAGGAGTGCTCGGCTCTGCCACTAGAGTGCTCAACACCCCTTCCGGAGTGCTCGGCACCTATTCCCCAGCGTCTCCACCATCGTGGATGACCAAGTGCTCGATGATAAAGGTGTTGGTGAAGCCACCAGCTTCCCCCGTGCTCGGATTGTTCTAGTCCCAAGCCGTCTTCTCGTTGAACACGACGTCGCGCGAGACAAGCACCTTGTCTCTGCGTGGGTCGTAGAGCCAGTACGCCTTGGTACCCTCCGCGTAGCCTAGGAACACCATCTGTGTGCTCCTGTCCTCCAGCTTGGTAAGGATCGACTTTGTCTTCCTAACGGACTGATGCAACCGAATGTCTAGAGGAAGGACATGCTCGGCTTGCGCCCATACCAAGCTTCTAACGGCGTCTTGCCCGTTAGGGCCTTGGTCGGAGCGCGGTTGAGAATGAACACCGCCGTGTTCACCGCCTCACCCTAGAACCTTGTCGGCATGCCTTTGGCCTTCATCATGGATCGAGCCATGCCAACCACCGTCTGGTTCTGCCTCTCCACCACGCCATTCTATTGTGGCGAGTACGACGCGGTGTGGTGTCACACCACACCTTGATCTGCGTAGTACGCAGCGAACTCTACCGAAGTGAATTCGCCGCCACGATAAGTCCTCAGCACACAGAGCTTCTTGCCGCTCTCGGCCTCCACGCACATCTTGAACTTCTTGATCACCGCCGCCGCTTCGTCCTTGCTTGTCAGGAGTTGCAGCCACATGTAGCAACTGTAATCATCCACGAGCAGGAGAAAGTACCGCCGACCACCATTTGTAGTTGGCGTGATCGGCCCGCAGATGTCGCCGTGGACGAGCTCGAGAGCGTCCTTTGGGTGATACTTGGCGGCCTTTGGGAATGGTAGCCTCCTCTGCTTCTCGGCCAGATAGCTGTCACACAGCTCGCCTCCGTGCTTGATGTGGGGTAGACCTTGAACCATCTTCTCCAGCTGACCAAGCGCGTCGAAGCTAAGATGTCCAAACCAGGCATGCCACAGCCATGGCTCCTCGGTGTGCCTTGCCGCCAGGCACACTGGCTGCTCTACCTTCAGGTCAAGCAGGTACAACCGATTCTAGGACCTCTTCACCTTGGTGAGAAGTCGCTGCTCCCGATCCTTTATCCTAAGGACTCCGTCCTTGATCAGTACCTCGCTGTCGTGCTCATCCAGCTAACCAATGCTGATGATGCTGGAACGCAACTGCGGTATGTAATATACATCCATTAGCGCGTGGTGCTCCTTGTTCTGGCACCTAAAGATGATGGTGCCACGCCTTTGGATAGCCACCCTTGTGCTATCACCAAACTTCATCGTACCGGTAACATCGTCATCGAGCTTGGAGAAGGCTGCCTTGGAGCCCATCATGTGGTTGCTGGCACCAGAGTCTAGATACCACCGCTGCTCCTAGTCGGCGCCCACATGTCTGAGGTGGACTTGGGTGCGTGGTTCGTCGAGGTTGACAGCGTTCAGGGCCTTCCCAGGTCCTTCCACCATCGTCGCCTCTTCCTTCTCCTCGGCCTCGACGTCATGCAGTGCACAGAACGTCGCTATTAGGATAGTGGCCTCATCATCATCATCAGCTTGCGCCAGATGAGCCTCAGCCTTCTTCTCCTGCTTGCGATTTGGACACTCCCGTGCCCAATGGCCCGTCTTCCTGCAGCGCCAACAGGCGTTGGGGTCGACTTGCTTCTTCTTCTCCGAAGAAGCCTTGCCGCGGCACTTGCCATCACCACCACAGCTGGAGGAGGCTACCTTCCCGGAGTTCCTCTGAGCAGCCCACTCCTCTTCTATCAGCAGTAGTTTGCCGCTGTCCTTCGTTGCTGTCGCCTGCTCTAGGCGCTCGTCCACCACCCGCAGACAGCCTGTCACATCCTCAATGGTGAGGGTGAACAAATCCAGTATCGTCTCTATAGAGAGAGCGATCTGGATGTACATTGCTGGCACAGAGTGGAGGTACTTGGAGACCACCTCCTCTTCATCGATGGTGACATCGTGGCTCTTCAGCTTGTTGATGAGCGTTTGTAGGCGGAGGGAGAAGTCCTCCACCGTTTCAACATCCTTGAACTTGAGGTTGGCGTACTCCTTCTTCAGAAGCTGGGCTGTCGCCTTCTTTGCGCGGTCGGAACTGACGCGCATCACCGCAATAGCCTCCCATGCCTCCTTAGCCGAGCTCTTCGCCCCCAATGGCTTCCTGTACTCCGTCGGTACAGTAGCGAGGATAGCCTCCAACGCTGACATGTCATCTTCCTCATTGTCGGTGCCCTTGTCAACAGCATTCTAGAGCCGTCGGGCTCTGAGCTTGACCTTCATGGTCACCGACCACTCTCCATAGTTGGTGCGAGTCAGCATCGGCCAACTGGTGTCGCTGACCTCCCGCACTGTGCGAACAATGACCTCCGATCGTGGTTGGGCAGCCATAGCAGTGCCACTGTTGTCGCCCATTTTCGAACCGTTCGTCATCGCCAGCGGTTAGTCCGGCGACGGCGCTTGTACGGCTCTGATACCGCTTGTTAGCCCACAGGATCACCGGCTCAAGTGAGTCGACCACTCACCAGTCTTATCGAGCACGCGCTAGTGTTGCCGAGCACTCACTAGCTAAGCTGACCACGAGCACGACAGAGGCTGTCCGACCACACCCACTATGGCTAGAGGTAGAAGAAGAGGGAGAATAGAGCATACACACACAATACAAGCACCAGCGTTGGCCGAAGCCCTGTATAGGAGATGGCAAAACTAAACTCTCTTTGTTGAGTTGCAGTGGCAAACTATATATACAACTCTATCTATCTAGTCCTAATACAGCTGCCCTACTACAACAGTGACTAGATAACACTGCAGGACTGACTTCTGCGCTTGTCCCTGCATGTGGCTATAGTCTGGTAGGTGAGCCGTTCGGCGCCCGCCTCTACAGTGGCTACAGTACCACAGTAGGGAGCCTTTTCGGTGCCGCCTTCCCTTGCTGTGTGTTCATACAAAGAAGCAATAGATTATCTAACATGAGGAACCTTTTGCTCCAAATAATCCTAAAGGTTTTGTGGTTAAGACTCTTGGGCAGCCAGGCCTCAAAAGATCTGTACGGGTTGGTGAGACAGGATTTTGGGAGGTCACTGCATACCTCCTTGATCACAAGAATTTTGTAGGAGTCCCTCTTACTATGTTAGTGAAAGTTACTCATAGTGTGTTTCATGTGAATGAAGATGTTAATTGTAAAAACAAGACCAATAGGAACAGATCATAGGCTCATAGCAAGATTGCCTCGTTGCAACAATTCATTCCACATGACTATGATGCTAGTGACCATGGAACATCGAGCCTCCCTATCTTTTCCATTCACAGGATTGGCATACTCGATATCAGAATCTTTAACACTGATAGGCACGGTGGCAATCTTCTAGTCAAGAACCTTGATAATGGATCTAGCCATTTTGAAGCTCAAACAAAACCTATTCCCATTGATCATGGTCTATGTCTTCCAAAAAGTCTGGAAGATCCTTACTTTGAGTGGATTCATTGACCACAAGCATCCATTCCTTTCTCTGAAGAACTAGAGTATATCAAAGATTTGGACCCTATAAAGGACGTTGAAATGCTTCGCATGGAGCTACCCATGATTCATGAGGCAAGTCTTAGGGTGTTGGTCCTCTCAACAATATTTCTCAAGGAAGCTGTAGCTTCTGGCCACTGCTTGTCAGAGATAGGGGACATGATGAGCAGACAGTTTACTGAAAAAGAAGAGGAGCCAAGTGTGCTTGAGGTTATGTGTATGGAAGCAAGGAATTGGGTTAAGGAGATAGAATTGCTTTTACAAGAAACAGACTTTGAAGAAGAAGAAGAAGATGATGATGATAGTGATGCAAACTTCACCCAGTTTGATCTTGACTCAGCTGATGATTCAACTACATGTGAAATATCATTTTTTAACAAATATAGGTCTACTGGGGGAAGTTTCAGGAAACCACTTTCAAGATTGCCTGAGGGAAATGAGGACAATGAGGAGGAAGCCAAAAACGAGGCGAGTCAAGATGATGCCAACACATACACCAGTCCAGTTCCTAACTGTACTCTGTCTACCTCAAAATCATTGGTGTGTCCAATGGGGCTTTGCTTTAGTGGAAATAGAAGGTGCCGCAATGGTGTCCCAAAGAATAGGGTGAGTGCTAAAACTAACTATTATAATGGCTACCGTAGCGAGTATTAGTCTGCAGGTTGTGTAACAGAACCGACCAAATCATAAGAACGTAAGTACAAAAACAATCACCGAAGCGATCAAATTTCTGTACTTGAGCTCCCATAATCCCGGTAGTCCGGAAATCACAAAGGATTTCAACCAACTCTCGACATACAGACCAAGATCGTAGTGATTCAACACAACACATCATCCGTTACAACATTTCATAAGTAGCATTCGGATTACATCCATCAGAATTCAAATAAAATATTACAAACCAAGTTCAAATGCGCGGAAGCAACATAGTTTAGTACATAACTTCATAGTTTTAAATACATTGCCAGATCTGAGTCATGTCCCATAAAAGCATTATCAGGTATGAGAACTAGTAGAGACCGCGCCCAACGGCCTAGTCTTCATCCCCAGCTGAGAGAAGGCAGTACTTGCAGCAACCAAAGTAGAACTGGTCATCTACAACAGGTGGGAGATAAACCCTGAGTACGAGAAGGTACTCAGCTAGACTTACCCGCCGAAAACTAGAAATAAAAGACACCAAGGATCATGCAAGGCTTATGAGGTGGGATAGCTTGACACAGTTGCATAAAGAGCTTATGATTATAGTAACCAATTTAAACTTTGCATCAAGCTTATCATTATTTACCTGTCCACTAGATTAGCACCTATACTAGAGCACTCACTTATTAGGAGCAAACAATATTAACCATAGCGGTATAATAAGGTCACATCATCATATATCATCATTTCTCGAACCATTATGTTATTTAGTGCATCTACATTGGAGATAAGCCCGTCAAGTTCTCACTAACTTGGGAGAGACGGCGATTCAATCGAATTACAACTCAAATGAGGGGTATTCCTAACTCTCACCCCGCATACTTTGCAAGGGTAGCCATGGGTCACCTTTTGGAACAACTCAGAACCAAATTCGCAGGTTCGATCAACAACCAACACTCTTAGGGATTACCCTTATGCTAGGACGATCAGACTTTTTAAACCACCGCCCTTGGACTCACGCCCTCGGCTCCTTCCGAGGCGCACTTTATACTTATCGACACCCGGCCCGAGGTGAGCTACTCGGCTTCGTGGTTGGTCTCCAGACCCGGCCAACTAAGAGAGAGGCATGCGTTCAACATGAACAGGAAAGGCTCCAAGATTCGGTCCTTAATCGACATAGACGGAGTCACTGCAAACCGGCAAGCCTCCGCCTTGGGTCTTCATTTCAAATTAAGACCGGTTCTTTTCCACGATAGCAAATATAGCCAACCATGCCACATGTATATTCCTATATCTCGTAGGTGACAGAAATCACCGACTTCTACCGCGTTTAAGCGTGGCTAAGCACTACGAGCCCGAGCTACATAGGATTCAGGTAACAATATCCGGACAAGGATTGGGTAACCAATGCAACAATTGTTTGCATCCAACACCTAAACTTAATGCAACAATATATATATAGATATATAATAATAATACTGTAACTGCATTTCAGAAATTAGGAGGCTTAATATGCTCCGGGGCTTGCCTTTCACAAAGTTGCACGGACGGTGATCCGAGCACTCAACGGCGACCTCGTTTGGCACTTCTTCTGAAAGCTGCACCTCCTGAACCTCCGGTGTCGGCTGCTGCTGCTCGCTCGGTTCCTCGAATTCCAGCAGGGTCACTCCTTCCGGTACACCTATTGCATGCCGATGCACAAGATAAATATCATGGATGCATAAGGAATGACATGATGCTCATGATGAATGAATCACAGTAAGTGTTTGACAAAAACATTACTGGACACTCGTTTACCGATTAAGAATAGCCCTATTCAAATCACTTTAAAATAGGTATCTAACTTAACTTGAAGAACAAGATCAACTTACCTAACTTGCATAACCTAAGATAAAGATGCTCATCTTCAGTTAAAGGCCTAACACATAGGAACATTACCACAAACTTAGAAATAGTAAAGGCATACATAAATCAACATTTAAAACTTCATATGCACACAAATAGTCCCTTAATTCAATCACAACCAGAGTTCTACAAATCCAAATGACTTGCAAGAGGACATTCTGGAAAGCTTATGAAATTCTCTACAATTCATTTGTAAACATCAAAGCATGATTCTTAAGTGAACCAAATCAAATTCCAGTAAACCTAGAATCTGTCCCGCAATGACAGGGTTACTAACTTAATTATTTAATGATGATGAAAAAGCCTAATTTGACCAGACCAAGTTTACCAACTTGTTACACATACCAGAGGAACACTAGAAAGTATAATGCCAACTTCTAAATAAATTATTTAATATCCTTTTCTAATTTATTTAGTTTATTAGGTGATTAAAGCAACATATAGTAAAACTGTTCATAAAAATCTACAAAAATTACAGTAGCTATCTCATGATTCACATAGACTACCATAAAAATTTCAAAGCCATTGAGCAAGCAGAACTTGCTGTATCCAAAATAACAGGTGGCATGCCTATTTTTAGCATAATTAGGAAACCCTAATGAAAAGTGTCAAGCAACAGATTTCACAATTTTCCTAGTATCATTCAAGCATAACAATAGCACTCACCAAATTTTACCTTTACTGGATCTATAGAAAAATTATGAAAATTCATACAAGATCTATCTATTAATAAAAAGAAATTCTATAACTCAAAAACTACACATGAACTAGCTCTGAAATTATAACCAGAGCCTCTACTAAGCAATAATAGATTACCCACAAAATTTTATAATTTTTGCACCCCAGAAACTCAAGATAAAATTCAAACAAGTTTGCATGTATCCAAAAACACATTTCAAAGTCCTATTTAATACATCTAGAATTTCTAAAACATGTGCCCATATAATATTTTTATTAAATACTAGACATTATCATGAACTCAACAAAATTGGAACCATAGCATTTGGATCTACCAACTAGGAGATACACATTTTTGAATCTATACACAAATCTGTGAAATAATAAAAACAAAACAAATCACAGCCACTGTTGGGCCGGCCCGAAGGAATGGCGGCCCGCGAAGCGCACTGGCGTGGCCCAAGACGCGGCGCGGCCCATGCTGGGCTCCCGCCTCAGCCGCGGTGACTGACGGGAGGGGCCCGCGCGTCAGCGAGACAGACAGGGGAGCGGAGGAAGACGACGGCGCAACTCGCCGCCGGTGGCTCCTCCAGCGAAGGCAACGGCGCTACTGTGTTCGCCTCACTCGTGCGCATCTAGTGGTACCCTAAATGGAAGCTATTGGCATGGCTACCGGGGCTGGCGACGAGCACGGCGGCGCACGGCCGCGGCATGGCCGGCTCCGGCGAGACCCGACCCCGTAGGGTGCGGCTAAGCTAGGGACGAGCTTCCGGAGTTCACTACCAAGCTAACCGAGCACAGAGGAGGGGATGGGAAGGCTACGGTGGTAGTTGGCCGCGTGGAGCGCCAACTCCGGTGAGGTCCCTCCATGGCGGCGGTGGAGGAAATGGTGAATACGCCCTTACCAAGCCCCAAATGACCCGGCTGAGAGGTGGAGGAGGTGGAGAAGAACACGACGAAGCTACGAACGAGCTGGCCGACGCATTTTTGCGGTGGTGAGCGCGCACGACGACAGCGACGTGCGGTCGGCAATGGCGGATGGCTGCTGTGGCTTGGCGCAGCGCGCGGGGAAGGAGAAGGAAAAGCAAATGGCGCGGTGAGTGCGTCGGGCAGGCGCGCGGGGTGCTCTTGTCACGGCCAGCAGCGCCAGGATGCCCGTGGCACGTGGCCTGCGCGAGCAGAAGGCCGGCGACGGGTGGCACACACGCGGCGCTTGTTTTCTGAACTCGGTCAGTCACTATAGATCACATTCTGTTGATTTGATCAGCCTGACAGCGTGACTTCAACGCATTATCCTGACTAATCCGTTGCTCGTTTGCAAAAACAGTGTACATGAAAATTGTAGGCCTACCATCCATCTACAATTTCTCTTCAAGGACCATTCCTTAACTCATCATGGATCAGCAGTTACATGAAGCCAAAGTGAGCTTGATGCAACTGAAAAGGCAGTTTAAGACTTAGACAAAATTTTCAGTGAAATCAGCATGAACTTCTGACTTGTGGGCCATGTTTGAGCATGTTCCACACATTTTCATGAGTTGGTCATAAAACAACTTTTGTTCCTTGATAAATTAGCTACAACTTTTGTAAAGAGTGTACAGCCATGCAAGGTTTCTAAGCTGGACTTTTGAATCAGTCAAACGGTGACACTCCAAGGGTCAATTCAAGTCAAACCTCCACTTAAGGGCATTTTGGTCATTTTGATCTACATGAACAATGTCCCAACAAGTAACCTAAGTATAGTTAAGGTGTAATAGACCATGATCAACCACTTTACCAAATTGTTATACCAACCTTTAATGATCACATGTGATAAAGCAACTAAAACAAGTAATTCACTCATATGTTGCAATGCAATATTTCACATGTTTCAAGACCTTGTTGTCATTTTATGATTGCCACATTACTACCATATTGCCATGTTTCAAAGTATGAGAGTTTCATGTTACATTCACATGTTGCACTACTACCACTCTAAGCAATCAAGCATGAAACACATACAATTTAAAATGTTGCATATGTATGTTTCAATGATAATGGCATGATGACATAGATAATGCACATGTTTATGAAATGACATGCAATTTAGTGGAAGCCTAAACACCTAGGGTGTTACAGCCCTCCCCCCTTAGAAAAATCTCATCCCGAGATTTGGAAAGCATACCATTTAGTATAGAAAGTTGGATGATTTTCTTTTAAATAATCTTCCCGCTCCCATGTCGCATCCCGTTCACTATGATTACTGTAATAGAACCGCCCAATTTATATAAGATCAAGTACGGCTGTCCTCGCTAACTCGTTGACACACGCATACTTTCACTCATATAAACCCGGTAGTCCGCCGAGTGTCCCGAAAGACCTCGGTAAATCAACATCACAACCAAGATCGCGTGATTAAGCAAATACACATCACATACGCAGGGTTGCAGCGG